GGGGAGGCCAAGGGGGCCCCCTCCCCCGCCCAGCCCTGAGACTCTGGCTGTAGCTGGTGTGGGGCTGGGGGGGGGTCCCTGCAACCTGGGGGGGGCTGGAGAAAGCCCTTCCTGGGGGGAGCCCCACAGCATAGCCCTGTGTGCTCCCCCAGGCTGAGGGATCCCGCAGCCATGTCCCTTACGGACAGCACTGACATCGACAGCAAGTCGGAGAAGCCCGTGTCTGTGATCTGGGGTAAGGTCCCCCTAGCAGCACCCCTGGGGGGCTGGGGGCTGTATGGGGCTGTTCCCCCTCCCCTGTGCCCCCCAACCTGGAGCAGCCCCGCTCTGATGCCTGCCTGTCCGCAGGGTGCGAGCTGAGCAGCGAGCGGGATTCCTACACCTTCCAGGTGCTGGAGGAGTGGGAGTGTGAGCAGCAGCTGGCCCTGCGGACGGTAGGTGGTCCCAGCCCACCCCAAACCCCCCCGGGGGGTCCCGAGCAAGGGGTGTTCAGGTGCTGGGGGGGTGTGATGGGGTGATGCTCTTCTCGCTCCCTAAAGATCTGCCTGGGGGAGATGGCGCGGGATGAGTTCCACGTGGTGGAGATGGTGCCAGCCGACGAGGGCACCACGCACACCCCGGTGCCCCTGGCCACGCTGAAGCCCTCCGTGCTGCCCATGGTGAGTGTCCTGGGGAAGGGGCTGCCCTGGGGAGGGGGCTGCTGCTGCTGGGGGCTGCCACCCACCTCTCTTGCAGGCCCCCCTGGTGGGAGTGGAGCTGACCCCTCCGGTTACCTTCCGCCTGAGAGCTGGCTCCGGCCCCCTCTACATCAGCGGGCAGTATGTCTCCAGTAAGTATGGGGGTACCACCACCCTGCAACCCCCCCCCCCCCCCCCCCGCGGGGGGGGCGCCCCCGCCCCCCCCGTGCCCAACCTGTCCTGGGATGAGGAGGATGAAGAGGAGGAAGAGGAGCCAGCAGAGGAGTCCCTAGAGAAGTCCCCCAAGGGCCAAGCTGACAAGAAAGGCAATGCTGCCAAGGTACACACCCCCCCCCTGCCTTGGAGCTGGCCAAGGGGTCCCTGTGCCATGGGGGGCCTGGGATGCAGCCTCTGCTGGGCGCTTTCCCGTGCCCGGATCCCAGGGATGGGCTGCTCCGTGCTCCCACCGAGCCCCAAACCCCTCTCTGTAATGGGGGTGAGCTATGATCTTCATCCCCCGGGGAGGAAGAGTCACAGGCTCTGTAGCGAGTCCCCATCCCACCCACGCATGCCTGGCCCTGCCATCTCCATCTTCCCCTCCCTCCCCTAGAAGAGGAGGCTGGAGGAGGAGGATGAGCGGTGAGTATGATGCAGGGAAACACATCCACCAGCCCTGCCATGGAGCAGGGATCCTCCATGCTGCCAGGACTCTGCACCCCTAATCCCAGCCCTCCCCTTCTCTCCCAAGCAGGAACAATGCCCCCCCCCCCCCAAGGATCCCCTTCCCAGCAAGGTAGGAGCTGCTGGGGGTGTCGTCCCGCATCTCCCACTTACCCATCACGCTCATTGATCAGGACTGGGAGCTCTCGGGGGGAGGGAAAGGGGCTGCTGATGTGTGATGCTATTTGGCTGCTGAGCTCAAAAATGGGGGAGAAACGCAGGGCCAGGCTGTGCCTGGGCTGGGGGCTCCCCGGGCTGGGGGCTCCCTGTGCTCAGCCATGGCCCCATCCCACAGGGGGGGGGAGCCGGCCGGGGCAGGAAGGCAGCGGCGAAGAAGTAGCAGGAGCCGTGGTGGAGCCTGGCCAGGTACGGGGCAGCCGGGTGCGAGGGTCCCTATGGGGATGGGAGGGGGGGCCGGTGCGTGCCCCCTGTCTTGTGGCCAAGTGGGGCTGGGGAGGACCCAGCCCCAGAGCAGGCTCAGCTGGGGACACCCATGTGCAAGACCCTTTCTCCTTCCCTTCCAGGTGCAGAAGAGGCTGGAAAGCTTCTGTTCTGGTGGTGTCCTTCCCCAATAAAGGATATTTTGCACTCCTGGCTCTCCATGATGGGGATGGAGGGGTTGCGGGATGGGGGGGAGCATCCTCCATCCCAGCCAGGGGATGCTCCTGCCTCCCCCCTCCGGGCTGCGAGGAGCCTTGTACCCGCAGCCCTGGCTCTGGCGTGCTGCCTACCTTGGCAGCATCCTTCCCTGGGGTTGGGGGGGCCCGGTGGCAGCCCCCCCACCCCACCCCTCCCCGCCATCCCGCGCGGGGTAACAAGTGCTGCTTGTGAATAGGAGACAAAGGGGGATTACCGAGCAGCGGGGAGATGATTATAACCCATTGACCTGGCCTTGGTCGGGAGGCAGCAGGTATTTGTGGAGGGGGTCCGGTGCCCCTCGGGAGCGCGCGGGGGACTGCTGTGTCTCAGATTGGCTCCGAG